GGTGCTGTGGGTCAGGATGTGTGAAAGGGAAACAGGGGTCTTATACTAGTGCGAGGGAACCCCTGAAGTGTGGGAGCGTGGGGAAGCCCTGTCCTGTTTAGGGACCTTCGTTAAGCCTTTATTATCAAACAGGCAGTGGAACACAGCCTTTCAGCAGCTAGTGAAGTCATAGGAGTGGCCTGCAGTTAGGATTGAGGGCTATAGGACAGCACTGGAGGAAATGTCCAGCTCTACTGGCCAAGGTCCCTGAACACCTATTATGTACTAGTTGCTGGGACTGAATCTTCACAGCAATCCTAGGAGATGGGTCTTGCTGTTCCCCTTTTTTTACACAGGAGGTGGTTCAGCCCAGAGAGGCAGACTCACCTGCCCAAAGTCACACAGCAGATCCAAGCTTTGCGCCAGGTCCTGAGAACTCCAAAGCCTTTGCGTTTTTCTCTACACAACCCTGACCCCATGATAGATGGGGCCCAGTCTTCATTTTGGCTTTATATCCCCCACTTGCTCTGGGCACTGGGGACCCAATTTTGGAGGCTGGGAGCAGGGGAGTGGGCAGTGAAGGTGTGGGTAGGTTTGTGACATAATGAACCAAGGAACAATGAGAAACGGGGACAGGAGAAAGGAACCCCCTCTAGTCATAACAAAGGAAAGTGGCAGAGTGGTGGGGGCGGCAGGCAAGAAGATGCCCAGTCCTCTCCCACACACCCCTCTGAGGCCTGAGGTCAGGTACTGGGCTGGCTCAGGAACAAAAAGATTTCTTGGTGTGGAAGGAGGAGAAATGAGTGAGTAGAGGGGCCTGGTAGTCCTCCTGGAAGAGGATGAGAGCCAGACTTGACCCAGGGCTGCTTACGACAGCTGGCAGTCCCCCTCGGAGGCCCAGCTCTGTGCCACCTCTCCCCACTCCACCCCTAGGCTCCAGGGCCTCCCCCTGCTGCGAGAAGGAAGAGCAAAGGATGGGGTCCTCCCCATTCTCCTGACTGGGGAGGAAATGTGTGCTCAGCAGACATTGCAAACCCCTTCCCCTTGTCCCATAGGTGGCTCTCCCAAGGCAAGTAGCTAGGGCAGCCAGACAAAGGAAGGCAGGCTTTCCCCCCCCCCCCCCCCAGCCAGGCCCAACCCCCCCCCCCCCCTATTCCCAGAAACCTAGGAGAGTCACTGTGCCTCAGGCGGGATGGCTTGCCTTGTGTTCTCTTGGTAACTTCACTGTAAACTGACTTCCCTGAAGAGTGGTAGAGGACAAGGGACAGAGGCAGGAAGGGCAGACAGGTTTCACCCAGGATCCAGAAGCTTCTTCCCCTCCCCCAAATTCACACAGAATTACTCACTGCACACACACCCCTTCCCAAGGTCCTGTTCTGTCCTCAGGGACAAGAATGGATGCAGCCTATCCACAGGGAGGAACCAGGATAGGAAGACAGGGGAGAGGCAGGGACAGTGATCTTGGGGTGCAGTATATGCTGAGTATGGCCTACAGCTCCCCTTCTAAGAGCTTTGGGGGGTGGGGGCTGAGGCTGGAGAGGAGATAGATAATCCCAGCAGAGGCAAGGTGGGGGAGAGCAGGGCAGTTAAGCCCAAGGGCTTCAGGTCTCCCTCTGTGGGCACAGAGATACTTCCTGGAATGCCTCCAGCTTTCTCTGGAAAGCTCTACACCCCACCCTGCCTCCCCTCTGCCCTCTGGCTCCCACACCCCAGGAACTCTCCTTGAAGAAGGTGCTTAGAACAGAGGAAACAAAGACATCTCTGTACCACCTCCCTCCACCCCTGGGGACGATTAGGTCAAGGTGACCTCAATCTGTTCTCCCCAAGGAAGGGGCATGAGCACAGCATTCTGGGCTAACCTGGTTGGCAAGGGCAGGCCAGAAAAGGGACTTGAGATGATTCTTCCCTTCCTCCATCAGTTCAAACCCACCTTCATTTAATGCACAGGTCACAAGGAACCCGGGCACGGACTGGCGTTCAGATGGAGGTCCTTCGACTGGCTAGCCCAGCCAGAGGAGACGTCTTCCTTCTGTGAGTGCATGCTGGGGATGGGGGATGTCTGGAAGGCTATACTGAGACCTGCACTCGGGGCTGGGCCCCTTGGATCATCATGCCAGGTGGGCACTTACTGGCCAGATGGTTGTGGACAGCTCTCCTTTCCTGGCTAATCAAATGCGCCTCTGCCTGCCTTCAAGGTTGTTGCAAGGATCAGTTGAGTTAAGGGGTACAACGATGTTTGTGTACCAATGTGCTATGATTCAGTTCAGGCTATGTCTTTAGTATGCTAACTACAAACTAGGCTGGGGATTATTACTATTCCTGGTAATATTTTATGGTCTGTCTTCTTTGGGGGAATGCATTCCCATATTATTTTTATAATCCTTCCTCACTCCCCATGTAATGTTGTATCTTGGAATTGGGAATTGAGGAGCAATTAGCAGAGGTCAGCCTGGGACCCCAGCTCAGTCCAGACCCGAGGCAGTTTCTGACCTTCCTGAACTCCATCCCATAGGCCTCAGTTTTCTCCTCTATAGTCTGGGCCCCTAAAATCACCAGGGTGCTTTGTGGTGGGAAATAGCAGAGACCAAAGCTGGGGACTGAAAGCAAAAAGAAACCCCAAATATTACATTTCTGGGGAATTGCATTATCCAGAGCCACGACCACAGTCACCTCTGCCCCCAACCCAGCTTTGACACCCTTCCCTTCTCCACTCCCTTGGGTGGCCTTTGCCCATCCTGGGAAAGCTCCAAGGCTCCTCCTTCTCCCCATTGCATCGCAAAGGGAGGACAGAGGCACAAGGAAATGGGAGAAACCCAGACTGAATCAGAGAGTCAGACAGAGACCAGAGACCTAGAGAGAAAGAATCAAAAGGAGGAGGAAATAAAAAAGCAAGAGGAGGCAGCAGGCAATGAAGGACACTGGGATTCAGGGCCTCACACACAGAGGCCACACTGGGGAGAGAACCAGAGTTAGCCCAGGGAGAAGCTGCAGCCACTGAACACAAGGTGGGGGGCACAGCACGTGACTCCCTGAAGCTATGGGGGCACATCCATTTGGGCCAACCCCTCCAGTGTGGTTCACTGGCACCTTAGTCCTAGTTTCTTTTAGGACCCAGGGCTATCCACCTTCTAGCCAAGCCCAGCCCAATCTAGCTAGATGTTTGGTGGGTACAGCTGCCAGCTGGAGCAGCAGGTCCCTACAGGCCCTGGGGAGCAGGCTGGAGAGGTGGCTGCCTGGAAGCGGACAGGCAAGGCTCCCACTCCAGACTTGCCACCCCCATGTCACCTTCTCCAGATGCCCAGAAGTGGGGCATGGCAAGTGTGGCCCCCTGCCTTCCAGATGGGGCTCAGAGGACTTGGAATCCAAGGACTCTCCTCCCAACCACTGGCTTACCCATCTGCTGGAAGCAAGAGGCTGGAGAGCACAAACCCTCCGTCTTTCCATGGGTTTACATCTGCCACGGACAGGTGGTGTGACCCTGGCCAAGTCATTTCCTCTCTCCAGTCTCTGTTGCCCCTTTTGTAAAATCATCCTTACAGGTCCTTCCAGCTCTGATACTTGACTCTCATTCCAGGTGACCTAGCGCTGTGTGTCTGGCCCTCCTCTGCCAAATGAATTGTCGGGAGTGAGGAAAGAATCGAGGGAGAGGCCATGTGCTTCCCCCTCCATGAGACTAAGAGACTGCAGCCGTGTGCGAGACCCAGAGACCCCAGCTTCTGGGGCTGGAAACTTGGCTTTTTCTCTGAGGGAAAAAGAACAAAAGTGGGGAAGGTACTGAGGGGCAAGAAGGTGGGGGAGGAATGAGAGGGGGGAGGGAATGGAGAGAAAAGGGTAGATCCAAGAAGGCATAGGGAGGGAGGGAGGTAGATGAGAATGATTCCCTCCAGGACACATGGTCCTAGCCCAGCGAGGCCCTCCCTTGGTGCTGCCAATTCCAGCTGCCAGGCAGAGGGGAGGCCCAGTGGAGAGGGAAGCTGGGCAAAGGGGATGGAAGGCTTCCAGCCCAGCCTTGCCCAATTCAGCAGGCCCTGTAGGGGGCTTTCAGGGAGGGGGTAGTGACCCAGGCAAGGCTCAAGGAGGGCGTGCCCGGCTCTGGCAAGGCCTTCGGGCAGCTGTGAATTTGTAAGGTTTTAAGACAGCCTTTCTGAAGGTAGGACCAGCCTCAGATGGGACTGGACCCAGTGAGCAGTGGGTGGGCAAGATCATTTAGGGATCATAGTCTGCAGACCAGGCCATAGATGCCCCCTGTGTGACCCTGGGCAAGCTCCTTCCCGTCTCTGGACTTCCATTTCTTATCTGCAAAATTTTGGGGAGGGATTTGAAACTTCAGACTGCCAAGGTTCTTTCCTGTTTCCACTGCAGGGGCGAGTGCAGGGTGGTGGGAGTGATGGAAGGTGGAGCCCTGGTGGTGAGCTGCCTTCTCTGGAATCCCCAGTCTTTCCCCTCCCTACCGCTTTGCCTCTGAGGTCACAAAAGCTGTGTCCCCAACCCACAGAAACACACACACACACACACACACACACACACACACACACACACACATTTACATTTACTTTTTTAATCTAGACACTCAAGGGATGACAAACGCAGAGCTGGAAGTCATCTCCAGCTAGTCCAACACTGCCCTCCTCCCTTTTTACAGGTGAGAAAACTGAGGCCTTGGTTTGGGATTTCCAGAGGCCGGGGTTTCCAGGCTCTCCCACCCCTATTACCGCCCCCCCCCCCACCGCCGCCCCGGCCACTTCAGCGCCTGCTGCCCGCGGGTCCGCGGCTCGCGGGCGAGGGCTGCCTGGGACTCCCGGGGGACCCCGCCGTCGGGGCAGCCCCCACGCGCGGCACCGCCCAGCCTCGCAGCTAGGGGCCGGGCCGCTGCCGCCGCTGCGCACTCACGGGGGCAGCCAGCGACCGAGGGCGGAGGCAGGGAGGGAGCGACAGAAGCTGGGAGGGGTGTTGGCGAGAGCTCGCGCGCTGTGTATGGTCTATCAGAGGCAGCTGACCTTCGAGGAGGAAATCGCTGCTCTCTGCTCCTTCCTGTAGTAACAGCCGCCGCAGCCGCCGCCGGAGCCCAGGCCTGGAGCGAGAGCCGCGGGGCGCACAGCCGGCCCTGTCGCCGGACGGCTCGGCGCCACCAGGTGGGTGGCCCGCCAGCGCGTCCCGAGCGGCGCGCGCGGAGATGGGACACTCGACTCCCACCTCGGGCCCGCGCGCCCCGGGACTCGGAGCCCGACGGCCGGCGGGGGCGCGGGGACCGGTGTGCGGGACCGAGAGGGAGCTTTGGCTTCCGCGCGGGGCGCGGGGCGCGGGACACTGGACGCGGACGCGGGGAGGGAGCCGAGGGTGGGCGCCGTCCCCACCCGCGGGGAGCAGGGGGCGCTGTCGGGCCGGACAGTGGGAGAACGTGGGGGTCCGGCTGGGGCCGGGGGAGCCTCCGAAGAGGCAGCCTCTGTCTTCCCAGCCCTCCCTCCTCAACCCCCCAGCCACGTGCCGGCGGGGACCGAGCCGTTCCGTGGGAGCCGTCGGTGCCTTAAGTTTGGGCTGGAATCAAACCTCCATTCCCCCACCCCCCGCCCAGAAATTAGGACTCGGGGCTCCGGGCTGGGCGGGGGACCGGGGTTGGGGGGGTTCTTGCAGCCCTCCCTAGAGGGCCCGTGGGCCTCCGCGTCAAGTTTCTCTTTCAGTTTTCTAGCTGTCCCCCGCCTCCGGGGAAGCCCCGGTGGGGCAAGGGGAGAGGAAGAGGGGGAGGGCACCTGACTTTCGAGAGCCCCTCCCCAAGCCTTAGCGGGTTCCTTGTTGGAGGGCAGGGCGGCCTTCCCCTCCTCACGGACTTTCTTCCCGCACAGGAAAGCGTGTCTGTGGGAGGGGAGGAGCCTGGCCTGACCGCGGTCCAGGGACCGGTGGGCATGGTAGGGCCAGAGGCGGGGGCAGCCCTTGCTCCTGTCGAGCAGAAGCCTCTGCAGCCCTCTGCTCGCTCTAGGTGAACGGACATGGCGGGCTGGATCCAAGCCCAGCAGCTGCAGGGAGATGCGCTGCGCCAGATGCAGGTGCTGTACGGGCAGCACTTCCCCATAGAGGTTCGGCACTACTTGGCTCAGTGGATTGAGAGCCAGCCATGGTAAGTCCCCTGCCCTGGGCCATCATCTGCGGGGGCGCCTACCACAGGCCCTTTGACCTTTAGCGCTTCTCTGTGTTTTGGTGTGATTCTAGCCCTTTCTGCCTCTCCTGCAGAAGGGGTGGTGTCCCTGGGAAAGGGGAACAGGGAAATGGGACCTTGGGAAGGGAGGGGGTGTTTCTAGACCGTGATGCCTGTGGAGTTGCCCAGAACAAGTCTTGTGGGCTCTGGAGTGCCCTTAGTCTGGAGCCTGGGATTTCTGACTCCCTCTTGGTGCCTGACCTCCTTGCCCAAGGAGACGTCATGGTAGTCTTCTCTCCCCTGCCCTGCCCCAAGGGATGCCATCGACCCGGAGAATCCCCAGGACCAAGGCCAGGCCACCCAGCTCCTGGAGGGCCTGGTGCAGGAGCTGCAGAAGAAGGCGGAGCACCAAGTCGGGGAGGATGGGTTCTTACTGAAGATCAAGCTGGGGCACTATGCTACGCAGCTCCAGGTGGGTGTGAATACGGGCTCATCTGCAGGAAAGCAGTGTCTGCCTTTTCTTTCCAGCAACAGAACCCCTGGGTTTTTTCCTGGCCTGGTCACTGACTCACCGTGTGACCCTGAGCTGATAAGTAACTTCTCTGCTCTTCAATTTCCCCCACCCCCTCTTTCTAAATCAGACCTGTCAGATTCCTTGAGCATGCTACAAAGCGAAGGGTGCCGTGTGTTTGTACGCAACAGAAGGGAGTTGGGTGAAGTGGCATTCAAAACAGAGCAAGCAAAAGGGATGGAGGTAGATTGAGTCAAGAGTCCTTTGTTTGACAAAGGAAGACTGAAAGCTCCTAGAAATGAGGAATGAGGCGAGCAGACGTCCCTCCTAGGACTCTTTTAAAGGTGCGAGAACTGCTGAAGTCAGGTGGACAAGGAGCAGAATTGCCCTGGAGGCAAGAGCTGGATAGAAGAGCATCAGATGAAGGATGTAGTTGTACAGTTGTGCCTTCTCCTTCTCTTTGGGGGGTAGGGGAGGTAACAGGGATAATATAGGGGAGAAAGGAAGTTTTTGTGGAAGCAGGAAAGGGGTGTGGGTGGTAATCACAGTCAAGCATTTATTGGAACTTACTTGTATTCCTCACAGAACCCTTCTTAAATACAAGCAGCAGGGTGCCAGGGAGATAAAAAGTCCATCACAGAAGAGGGAGGAAACAGGAGAAAGCTGGGAGAAAGAGGAAGGCAAAATAGGAACCCAAGGCCAGGGCAACAGTAGAAAGTACCTTGGCCTTGGCATTGGATTCTCCAAGTCTTGAGTCATCTGCTCACTTGTTTGCTTCTGGACAAGTACTTAACCTTTCTGAGCATCAGTTTTCTCACCTGCAAAATGAGGCTAATAGTTTCTGTGGACTTCAGGGTATCGGTGCTCTGAAAGTCAAAGGAGATGAAGTAGATTGGAGGAGCTTTGGAAACTTTGGAAACTGGGTTTCTAATGCACTGCAAACCAGATATGAAGGTCTGGGTAGAGGGGAATCGAGTCAAGGAGGGATAGAGGTGTCTGGTGACAGTTCCTGAGGTTTCTTGAGGAAAGCTGAGGCAGAGGCTAAAGGAGAGGAAGGAGGGGCACATGGCACTGTGGGGGGCCATGATGGGAATGTCAGGAGGCCAATTGTAACTGCTATTGGATTCTTTCAGAACACGTATGACCGCTGTCCCATGGAGCTGGTCCGCTGCATCCGACATATTCTGTACAATGAACAGAGGCTGGTGCGAGAAGCCAACAATGTGAGTGTCCCGTGGGTGTTTGGAGAGGAGCTGGGAAGTCCTTCTATACGCCTTTTTCTGCAGACAAAACTGTATTCTATAAATGCTGACAAGAGAGCACCAAGGAGATAAGGGACATGGGCAAGTGTGAGAAGCAACAGCACATGGTAGTTACAGTCCCTGTACCTTCTCTTCAGGCCCTGGCTTCAGGGCCCCCTGCTCAATCACTTACTAGCTGTGTGACTTGAACAAGTTACTTAACCTCACTGAGCCTCTGTTTTTTCAGTTGTAAATGGGGCTAGTAACAGTATCTTCCTTATAGAGTTAGTGTCAGGGTTAAATGAGATACTCTGTGGGCCATGGATAGACAAACAGACTAATGAAACAGAAAAGGAAACCCTACACACACACACACACACCCTGCAAATTTCACCCGTGTTAGACATGGGATCACAAGCCACCAGGGAGAAGAAGTATTTGTCGTTTAATAAATGGTGCCAGGGTTAAAAGAAGAAATGTTCTCTGGTGGTGTCTGTGAGGGGAGGTGGAGCTGAGGTCTGGGTTGGAAGAGAACCCTGGTAAGCTCCAAGAGGTGAGGTCCAGAGAGGCAGAAAGGGACTCATCCCCCAAGCTCTCTAATCATGAAGGCATTGAACATCTGATTGAACAATGGGACCGATATTATCTTATCTAGAGTAAAGCAAGATGAATTTTTTTTTTAAGATTTTATTTGTTTATTTGACAGACAGAGATCACAAGTAGGCAGAGAGGCAGGCAGAGAGAGGGGTAAGCAGGCTCCCTGCTGAGCAGAGAGCCCAATGTGGGGCTTGATCCCAGGACCCTGGGATCATGACCTGAGCCAAAGGCAGAGGCCTTAACCCACTGAGCCACCCAGGCACCCCGCAAGATGAATTTCATAAAGTGGCCACACATGGGTAAAGACCACAGAATAGTGCCCAGAGCATATTTATTTATTGCAGTTGATGCTGATTTCAGGAATTTTACAGTTCATTCAGTTAACATGTATGGAGGTCTTGTGGTGTCTGACACTGGGCTAGGACTGGAGAAACAGACAAAAGCCTGGTCCCTACCTAAAAGGGATTCAAGCAATGATAGATTCTCTAGAGGTGAGTAGGGGTGAACTGGGTACTAAGGGGGCATATATGGAAAAAGTACCCAACTCAGACTAGGGCAGCCTGGCAGGGGGATGTCTTGAGGACAGGAGTGTCCAAATGGGGAAAAAGGGAAGAAGAAGGAAAGATGAACAAAAGTAACAAGAGTATTATATGTGTGGGCAGGAAGGCAGGAACCATCTAACACATCTGAAGACTTGCAAGGGGTCAGTGATATTGGGGAGAAGGGAGCCAGTTGGGGAGCACCAGTAGGTAAAGCCAGAGAGGGGGTAGAAGCCAGGTCACAAAGAGTCTTCTGGGAAAACTGTTGTAGCTCTTGACTTCTTGCCACCACAGAACTATCTGTAAACATGCAAATGAATTCCACTCCAGTTAAGAAATACATGTCTAAAAAAAAAGAAAAGAAATACATTTCTATGGCATACGTGTTGTCATGGTCACGAGGAAAATCATTCCTTCTCCAAACCATCAGGCTGTTCTTGAAAACCTCTGACGTGCTACCCTTTGGGGATTTTGTGGCATACAAGACAGACAAGGTTCTAGCACTTGAGAGCTTATATCCTAGTGCGTGGAGGCAGACAAGATAGAAATAAAAACATAAAGGAATAAGACACTTTCAGATAAGGGTGTTGCTATTTGAAATTGGCCTATCAGAGAAAGCCACTCTGGAAAGGTGCCAATTGAAATGCCAGCCTTAGGAAGATTTGGTGTTAGAATGTTCCAGAGAGAAGGAACAACAAGTGCAAAGGCCCTGAGGCAGGAACATGTTTGTGTATTCAAAGAACGGAAAGTACCTGGTGTGCTTGGACAGCAGTCATACTGGGGAGGGGTGGAGGTAGGTAGAAGCTCTCCACTAGAGCAGTGGAGGCTATGGGAAGAAGTTTGGATTTTATTCTGAGAACAGTTTACTGGACAGGCCCTGATGATTTGGTCTCCTCTCAGCCAGTTGTGGAAGTAGTAGATCAGACTGGGTCACTTAAATGGCCTTACTTATACCTCCCCTGTAACTTTCCTCAGTTACAAGAAGGTCTTGAGTGAGGACACAGATGCTGTGTGTTCACACAGCCTTGTTCCCCGCTGTGTCTCCAGCACCCCACACGGTCCATGGCATCGGGTCGGTGAATGAACGTGGAATGAGGGGTCACCATCATTAGTCTGCAAACCCAGATAACTCCTGGCTGTGCTGAGTTCTACTCTCTCCAAAGAGGGCTTAGATGGACCCTGTTTGGGTGACTCTGGTGGAGGCCAGAGCTACAACAGAAGTTTCCCCTATCCTTTATGAAGTTGCCATAATCTGCCAGGTCCCCTGTTTCCCCCTCCTTTCCAACTCCATACCAGTTCCAACCCGTGCTGCCTGCACTCTCCCACTGCTATGTCCCCAGGGGAATTCTCCAGCTGGGATCCTGGTTGACGCCATGTCCCAGAAACACCTCCAGATCAACCAGACGTTTGAGGAGCTGCGGCTGGTCACACAGGACACAGAGAATGAACTGAAGAAGCTACAGCAGACCCAGGAGTACTTCATCATCCAGTATCAGGAGAGCCTGCGGATCCAGGGTGAGGCCCGCACGGCCAGGGCGGTGTGTGTCATGAGGCCAGGGGTGAGGACCACTCTGTGTGCTCCTGCAGGGTCGGGGCTGTGTCTGTGTCTGTCTCCACAGAGCCTTACCCAAAGCTTTGGAGAAGTAATAGTTCTTACTGAGCCCCTGCTATGGGCCAGACCCCAAGCTCAGCCCTTCGCATGCATTTTTCTTTTCTCTTGCATGCATGCATTTTTCAATCCAGACTTTACAATAGTCCCAAGAAGTAGGTAGCTGTATTATTCCTATTTTGTAGATGGTTCTAGTAACGTGGCCTGGATTGCTTATAAGTTGCAGAACCAGATCTCAACTAGAGATAATGTCATAAAATCCCAGTACTTTACTAAACAATATTCTCCCCCTGATTGTAGGTATTCAGTGAGTATCTCAATGACTGGATGAACACAGACAAAGTGTTCCCCACTCAGAGGGAGGACTTAGGTGGGGAGTCTTCTGGTTGAACCAGGCTGGGGAGAGGTGGGACTCCAGAAATGCCCCTTCTTGAGCCTCCCCGATAGGAGATGGAACTGGGAAGTGGAGGTGACAGTGAAACATTGTCCTGTCTCCAAGGTCTGTAGTTCGCCAGTGGCTATTGTGATAAGTGTGTGGGGAAAGAAAATTTAACTCAGAGCATATTAACTCCCAGTACGATTTGATGAGTCTTGAGACCTGGCCCATCGTCCCCCAACTCCAGACTGACCCCAGAGGTGTTCCATCCCATCCTCTTGAGAACAGGAATTGTCAAGCTGCCTTTCCTTTTACTCTTCTTTCTCTGGCTTCTTAAGGTAAAACCTTAGGTCATTGAACTTTAGACCTTTCTTCTTTTCTGATACATATATTCAGAGCTTTAAATTTCCCTCCAAGCAATGCTTTAGCTGCATTTCATGATTTTAACGAATGCTGTATATTCATTATTATTCAGTTTTGAAATATTTCTTTTCTGAATAAGTATTTTGTCCACACATTATTTAGGAGCATGTTGTTTAATTTCCAAGTATTTGGGGTTTTTCCCTTCTATGTCATATTGTTATTGATTTGGTTTGCATTTTATTATTGAATTCCACCATTGTCAGAGAACATACTCTAAATGATCTCAGTTCTTTTATATTTATTGAGACATGTTTTATGGCCCAGTGTATGCTGTATCTTGGTGAATGTATCTTGTGGACTTCAAAAGAGTGCATGTCTCACCATTGTTCCATTTAAAAGTAGCAATTTTAAGTTAAATAATGTTAACATAAAAAAGTTTTACTAAAAAAGTCACCCAAACCAACGTCTGTATTTTCCAAAACAAAGTTTAGCAAGAAGCATTGCTTTAGATTTTTACACATCTCTTTAATATGAGGCTTAATAGGAGATACCCAGGTCTTGCTTTCTTTTTTTTTAAGATTTTATTTATTTATTTGACAGAGATCACAAGTAGGCAGAGAGGCAGGCCGGGGTGGGTGGGGGAAGCAGGCTCCCCGTCGAGCAGACAGCCTGATGTGGGGCTCAGTCCCAGGGCCCTGGGATCATGACCCGAGCTGAAGGCAGAGGCCCAACCCACTGAGCCACCCAGGCGCCCTGGGTCTTGCTTTCAATCTATTGTAATATCACATATCTTAAAGCCTTTAGAAAATGTCACTGTATTCCTATAAGAGATTGAAAGAGAAAAAGGCAAGTAAGGTCTTCTGACCTTATAAAAACAGTTTTGGCTTTGTAGGCTGCCAGTAGAGTTCTTGGGAACCCTCTAGAGATCCCTGGTCCACACTTTGAGAACCACTGTGATCTCGGCCTTTATTGATTTCTTTCTTTCTAATTGTTCTATCAGGTGGTAAAAGAGAAGGATCAAAATCTCCTATTATATTGTGGAATTGTCCACTTCTCTAGTTATCTCTGTAAATATTTTCTTTGTGTATTTTGAAGCTTTGTTATTAGATGCATTTAAGTTTATGATTATAATATCTTTCTGATTGACTGATACCTTAATAACTATGAAATGCCCTTCTTGATCTCTGGTAATACCTTTTGTTTTGAAGTCTACTTCAACCTTCTTATTCTGCTTGTGATCTCTGTCAAATAAATAAAATCTTTAAAAAAAAAAAAAGATTTTATTTAGTTATTTGACAGAGACAGAGATCACAAGTAGGCAGAGAGGCAGGCAGAGAGAGGAAGGAAAGCAGGCTCCCTGCTGAGCAGAGAACCCCATGCGGGGCTCGATCCCAGGACCCTGAGATCATGACCCGAGCTGAAGGCAGAGGCTTTAACCCACTGAGCCACCCAGGTGCCCCCATAGGGCATCTTGATAACATGTTTTTTAAATTTAAAATGTGGATACCATATCGTTGAGTCTTGCTTTTATGAGTATTCTGACAATTTCTGCTTTTAATAGAGATGTTTAGTCCACTAATATTTAACATACTATTTAATACAGTTGCACTGAGATCTACATTTTAATGTTTATTTTCTGTTTTCTCCTAAATGTTTAATTATTTTCTTCTATTCCTCCCTTTTTAAAACTCTTCGAATTTTTTTTTTAGAATGCTGTTATGCTGTTTTATTTCTTTTTAAGATTTATTTAGTTATTTATTTGAGAGAGAGAAAGAGAGAGCATGCGGGGTTTGGGGCAGGGGGAGAAGGAGAAGGAGAGAAGCAGACTCCCGGTTGAGTGCAGAGCCCCATGCAGGGCTCTATCTCAGGACCCTGAGATCATGACCTGAGCAGAAATCAAGAGTCTGATGCTTAGTTGGCTGAACCACCCAGGTGCCCCTATGCTGTTTTAATTTAACTATTTAAGCTCTCCTCACCCTGCTGTGACAGTGTTTCCCATACTCTGAATTCCTCAACATGTTGCCAGAATCATAGTAGGTGTTAAGTAAATGTTGGTGGGATGATTCTAGCATGTTCCTCTGAATCCATCTTGGACTGACCCCAGAGAAAGGGTGGCCCTCTTCCTAGATTAAGGAACAGGAGAATTCAGGCTGTCAGTTGTTTTTTGTTTGTTTGTTTGTTTGTTTGTTTTAAGATTTTATTTATTTATTTGAGAGAGAGAGAGAGAACATGTGAGGGGAGGAGCAGAGGAAGAGGGAAAAGCAGACTCCCCGTTGAGCACAGAGCCTGTTGCAAGGCTCTTTCTCAGGACCCTGAGATCATGACCTGAGCAAAAGCCACACGTTCTGCCCCAGGCTGTCAGTTCTAACCCCAGTCTTTGATGGTTGATAGTACTTCCAGTCCCCTTCTTGGGTTTTCTGTTTCCTATTTATGGGTTTGCATTAGATTCTGCTTTGGGTTTCTACCCACCATGCAATGTCAGTTCAGTCTCATTTATCAAGTTGACTCATCAGAAACGCAGACTATTGCTCTGTTTGTGCAAGAGAAGGCTCAGCTCCCTCCAGTGGAGCAGAGAATTGCCTCCCATCTCCTGACCTCCCTTCCAGAAGCTTCCACAGAGTACCAGGGGAGACCTAAGTGGGTCACTGGTGTAGGGAGGTTGGGCCCAGGTATGGGGATCACTAGCACCCCCTGTGGGTGGCAGGATTTCTGAGGTGGCCTCAGACTACTCTGCTTTGTGCCACGGCTGGACGGTAGTCTCCTCTCTCAGTCCCCAGTCATGGGATCAGAACCGTATTTCCAGTTCTCCTCCAGTGCTGGGACTTTCCCGGGCTGTCTCGAGTTGCTTTCGACTGTCCCCAGCTTGTGTGTCCACGAGGGATCAGAACCGTATTTCCAGTTCTCTTCCAGTGCTAGGGCTTTCCCGGGCTGTCTCGAGTTCCTTTTGTCTGTCCCAGCTTGTGTGTCCACGAGGCAGGGCCTCGGTCAGTGTGACATGGCCCTCGACCACGATATGCTGATGCTCCCATCTCCTTGTCTCAGCCCAAGTGAGGACACAGGGATACTCAGCAAGACGTTGGGCAGGCCGTGATAATCCCAGTGTGGAGGACAGTGGTTACCTTTGGAGGCCGGGATGGGTTTGCAAGCAGGGAAGGACGTACAGGTGGCTTTCCCTGTGGTTTCTTCAGCTGGGTTATCAATAAGCAGGTGTTCCTTGCATCACTCTTTCTACCTTCCCTGGGTCTGAAGTATTTCATAATAGATTTTTGGTAAAACGGTAAGGAGGCCTCCCTGACTCTCCCTTCGTGCCATGGATGAGATCCCCACGCTAGCGTGGAGAGAAGCTACCTCCCTGTCCTGAGAGGTGTTGCTGCCACTGGGCGCTGGACATTCCCTCCCACTCACCACCTTCTCCTTCTGTCCCTGTGTGTGCCTGTCTGTGCCTCTCCATCTCCTTCTGGTTGGTCTGCTGAGCTCACGGTCACCCAGCCTGGACAAACCAACATATTAGGCCCCTGCCAGCACCCGGAGAAACCCCTTGTTCCAGAGGAGAGGCTGCTGGGCTCCTGGGGCGGGACAGAGCCCATGGGGCAGGGGCTTCCCTAGGCGGTCCTTCTGTGTGGGGTGGGACTGAGCAGCCGCTTGTCTCTGGCACCCTGTAACCTGCACTGGAAGCCACTGCCCAGGAAGAACCAGCTCTGACCTTCAGGGCCCACGAGCCGGGAGGTTCCATGAGCCTTTGGTGGATCATCACTTACTTATTCCTTGTCGACTCACTGAGGCAGGGGCCAAGATTCTGCCATTTTGCACGTGGGTAAACTGAGGCCCAGAAGAGAGAAATGATTTGCCCGAGGTTCCCCAGTTAGTAAACGGTGAGGGCACACATCGAACCAGGCAGCAAGGCTCCACGCTGGACCCCCGTGTGGCGTGAGGAGGTCTGGGCAGGCAGCTGTGTAGACTAAGTTGGGAAGGGAGGCCTCGGGGGGCTGTGCCCGCAGGCTTCCATCTGCACAGTCCCTAAAGGGGAGATCAAAGTCGAGAGGCCAGGGCCCAGAGTCCGCTCAGGTCTGGCTCCCTTGGCTGCTGGAGCCCCAAGTTGCCATCGGTCCGATGTTGGGCAGACCCTTAGGGCCTTGCCTCCAGAACAGCTGTTGGTGTTCTACTGGGCTTCCTGCAGGAAGCCAGAAAATGATGGTCGCGGGTGTCCCATCGCCTCTTCTAGCTCAGTTTGCCGGGCTGGCCCAGCTGAGTCCGCAGGAGCGTCTGAGCCGGGAGACAGCCCTCCAGCAGAAGCAGGTGTCCCTGGAGGCCTGGCTGCAGCATGAGGCCCAGACGCTGCAGCAGTACCGCGTGGTAAGTGCGGTCTGCGTCCTCTGCTCCCAAGCGCGGAGGCCCACATCCCGGGCCATCCGGGGAGCCCGAGAGAGGGCTAGGGCCGGGAGGAGAGGGGACCCTGGAGAGCTGGAGGCCAGAACCTTCTTTCCTGTGGGGAGCGTGTGAGGGAGAGCGGGTTTGGGAGAGGGGAGGGCCTGTGCCCGGGGCCTGGTTCCCAGCCCTGCCTCCCGAGTGCGGGCTGTTCTGTGGGAGCCCAGAAGGGCCTGCTGTCCCCACCTGCCTTCAGGAGCTGGCCGAGAAGCACCAGAAGACCCTGCAGCTGCTGCGGAAGCAGCAGACCATCATTCTGGACGATGAGCTGATCCAGTGGAAGCGGCGGCAACAGCTGGCAGGGAACGGAGGGCCCCCCGAGGGCAGCCTGGACGTGCTGCAGTCCTGGTAATGGTGTTTGGGGGTGGCTGGGGGCAGGGGCGCTGCTTCTGGCGTCTCCTTGGGCAGCCAGCTCTCTCTGTGCTGCAGCAGGGCTTAGTTCACCGGGGCTTCTGGCTCCTGATGCCGGCTTTGGGGCCCCCGTCATGTGCCCCGTGGCCAGGAAGGGAGTTCCCGTGCTGGGGAGGGGGACAGGGCTGCGTGTGCAGAGTGAGCCTCAGGCGGAGTGGACCGGTTCCGGGGCGCTGGTCCCGCGCAGCTCTGTGTGTCTGAAAGGCGGGGGGCACTCTGCTCCGGGGCCAGGAGTGGTGGCTGAGGTGCAGAACCTTCCAGCACGAGCGAGGAGCTGGGTCTTGGGGCGTTCTCCCCAGACTGGGGCCTCTCGGCCTCGAGCCTGGGGCGTGGGGTGATACCATTGTCCTCCCGGTGGCCGGGGCTCCCGTGCAGGTGTGAGAAGTTGGCCGAGATCATCTGGCAGAACCGGCAGCAGATCCGCAGGGCTGAGCACCTCTGCCAGCAGCTGCCCATCCCCGGCCCAGTGGAGGAGATGCTGGCTGAGGTCAACGCCACCATCACAGACATCATCTCAGCCCTGGTGACCAGGTGATTGCCGCCTCCAGTACGCCCAGCCCCTGGGTGGTTGGCGTGGAGCAGGCCGGGGTGCTTTGCCCACCGGGGTTGCGGTAGGGGGGCTCTCGTTGGAGTCCTTGTCTCTTTTCCCTTGGGCCTGCATCCCTCTCTGTCCTCAGTTGCAGTGGCTGCTTGGTGTTGACCTTGCCCAGTCTCTGTTGTGGACGCTCCGTGGACTGCCCTTGTCCCCCCCCCCCCCAAGCCTGGGCCAGCTGCTGAGTCCTGTCACTGCCTCCCCTCCCACCACCTCCTCTGACTCTCGGTGGCCTCCCCGGGAACAGGAGCTGTGCCGTGTGCCCTTCCTTTGCCTGCCGAGCCCCGGTAGCCTCCCCGCGTCGGTGGGCGGGCCCTGTCCCCTGAGTCAGCATCATGTGTGGTCTGGTCCCTTGTGTCCCCGCAGCACGTTCATCATTGAGAAGCAGCCCCCTCAGGTCCTAAAGACCCAGACCAAGTTTGCAGCGACGGTGCGCCTGCTGGTGGGCGGGAAGCTGAACGTGCACATGAACCCCCCGCAGGTGAAGGCCACCATCATCAGCGAGCAGCAGGCCAAGTCGCTGCTCAAGAACGAGAACACCCGCAAGTACGTGTTTCTCTCGGCTCCCTACGTTCTGGACTGGGAGTTCCTGTCTATTCTGTAACTAAGGTGCTGGGTGATGGAGGCAGCTCAGCTTCCCTCCCTACAGCCGTGGTGCAGTGTCTCTCCGGTTCTTTCTGTCTGTCCTGGGATACACGTTGTTCTTGTTGACACGTAGTAGGTCAACATGGATTGCACTGCTGGGTTGTTCTGGTACCTGTGCTAATCCCTGGGACAGAGCTGCAATCCACACTGTACTTGGCTCTGTCTTCACCTAGCCCAGCAGAGCTGGCAGCCGTCATGAGAAGGGGAGTGTGCACCAGGGGAGACCGAAGGCACCGTGGAAGTGGGTCGCACTGGGGGCGGGGCAGAATGACAGTGTCAGGACTAGGATGAATGGGAGCAGCTAGGGAGAGCATGCTGGGGCTGGCGGGGAGACTCTCAGATAGAAAACATGGGCCTTATCCGAAAGGAGAGTGTAGGAAAGGCAAATGTGGCTGGAGAACCCAGGGTGGGATCCAGGGATCAGGGCAGGCCCACACAAAGGATGCAATGAATGAGGGAGTGAATGAGTGAAGTGGGAGACTGGGTCATGTATATTGAGAGCCTACTGTGGCATCTGGGAATAGGATGATAAAGAAGCCAGAGAGGTTCTCATGTTCTTAGAGCTTACATTTTGGCTGGGGAAGGAGAAAGTTCTGTGCTTGTGGTAATCCTGCAGTGTCAAAAAGCTGTAGATTCTAGAAAGAAAATGAAAACAGTGACATCATGGCATCCAGATAGATGTTACCTTACCATGTGAGGGGCCACAGAAGGCCTTTCTGAGGAGATGTTTGAGTTGAGACCTAAACAAGAGGGTTCGGGGCACCCAGAAGAGCGGGTGCCCAAGTCCTGAGGTAGCACCAAGTTTGCATGTTTGGCAAACAGATAAGGCGGCCTGGATTGCTTGTCCTGAGTGAGGGGAGAGGAACCCAAGAGGCCAGGAAGCTAAGGCTGGGTTTGACCCTGGGGTCCTTGTGGGCTGTGGTCATGGTTATTTTTTTTTTTTCATTTTTTTAAAAATTTATTTATTTGACAGACAGAGATCACAAGTAGGCAGAGAGGCAGGCAGAGAGAGAGGGGAAGCAGGCTCCCTGCTGAGCAGAGAGCCCAATGTGGGGCCTGATCCCAGGACCCTGAGATCATGACCCAAGCCGAAGGCAGAGGCCTTAACCCACTGAGCCACCCAGACGCCCCTGGTCATGCTTATTATTTTAGTTGCACCAGAAGCTGTCAGAGCCAAAGGCCCCTGCATCAGTCTCAATGCCGACAGAGTTGTTAACCTAATGATAGAGACCCAGAGCCCACCCTTGAAGACTTTGCTTTACTCTCAGGCCTGAGACACAGAGAGAGAGAGCACGAGCAGGGAGAGGGCAGAGGGAGGACCAGAGGGGAGAGGGACAAGCAGACTCCACGCTGAGCAGGGAGCCCCTCGTAAGACTTGATCCCAGGACCCTGCAATCACAACCTGAGCCAAAACCAAGAGTTGTCCACTTACCTGACTGAGCCACCCAGGTGCCCAGAGGGGAACACTCAAAGGGGAAGGGTGAGGGGCAGCATCTCCTGGCTGGGCTTTCGGGCGTGAACACTGGGCCCAGGGCACGCACAGAGCCACCCCCCTGGCCTGGGGCCCACGTGGCCGTGGGGGTCACCTCTCCTTCGCAGCGAGTGCAGTGGCGAGATCCTGAACAACTGCTGTGTGATGGAGTATCACCAGGCCACCGGCACCCTCAGCGCGCACTTCAGGAACATGGTGAGTCCAGGGCCTGACCCCTGGCGGGGCCCGTCCACCCAGGGCCGAGTCCCCGTAACCAGCCACTTTCTCCTCGTCCCCCTCTGCCCTCCCCCGCTGCAGTCACTGAAGAGGATTAAGCGGGCTGACCGGAGGGGCGCGGAGTCTGTGACAGAGGAGAAATTCACGGTCCTGTTTGAGTCTCAGTTCAGCATTGGCGGCAATGAGCTTGTGTTCCAGGTGAAGGTGAGGCCTCGCTCTCCCATCCCCCACAGGTCACCCAGAAAGGTGGAGACTTCCCTGAGGCCACCTGATTGGTTTGGGAAAGCCAGAGAGCTCTGAATGCTCACACGGTCATGGCCCATTGGCTCATTTAGCCCAGAAGGCTCTCAGAAAATCTGTTTCACTCTGCTGGTGCGTGCTTGCTGTATTCTCATCTGGTGCCGGCCACAGAGCTTAAGCAATGGGCCAAGAAGAACTAGGTTGTGGGGTTTTTTTGTTTGTTTAGTTTTGCTTTGGTTTCATTGGGAGGTTTCGTGGGTGGGATCGAGGGTGAGGAATGAGGGCTCGATGTGGCCGTGTGCCTGCTACACTCATTCCTTTGACTCCTGTTAGACTCTGTCCCTTCCCGTGGTTGTCATCGTTCACGGCAGCCAGGACCACAATGCAACCGCCACCGTGCTGTGGGACAATGCCTTTGCTGAGCCGGTGAGTCCTCATGGGACCCTCATCTCAGCACCCCGTCCTGGAGTCTCCCTGGATCGGCCCCAAACCCCCGGGGCCCTGCTGGGTGGTCCCCTGTCAACCTTAGGGTCCCACTGGAGCTGAGGTGCGGTGGTCCCCTGTCAACCTTAGGGTCCCACTGGAGCTGAGGTGCGGTAAGGGACAGCTCACGTGAGCATGTTGCCTGTGGCATGTCCTTAGGCTCCGTCTGGGTTCCGGGTCTCAGGAGGGGGATTTCCTAGGTCTGTGGGCTTAGCTATTGGGCTCTGGTCTCTTATCTTCCTTCTGCTTATGGTTTGGGTCCCTGATCTCTATCCCAGGTTCCTGGTCTAGGTCTCTTATCACCATATGCCCACCCCTGCTGCCCTGCCTTTCCTTTTCTTTTCCTTTCTTTTCCCTTTTTTCTTTTCATTTCTTTTCTAAGATTTTGTTTTTATTTGAGAGCACACATGTGAGAGAAAGCACAAATGGGGGGATGGGGATAAGCAGGTCCCACACTGAGCAGGGAGCCCAATGCAGGGCTCCATCCCAGGACCCTGAGATCATGACCTGAGCAGAAGGCAGAGGCTCAACTGACTGAGCCACCCAGGCGCCCACTGCCCTGCTTTTCTTTTTCTTGTGTTTTTTTCTGGATCTTTCTTAGTCTTCTTTGTCTTTTGGTGTCTGTGGGCCCGAGTGTGTGGGTGTGTGCACGGGTGCGCGTGCGTGTAAATATTTCCTACTCCCTCGGTCTGCTTTCTCTTCCCTCCGCCTCAGGGCAGGGTGCCATTCGCCGTGCCCGACAAAGTGCTGTGGCCGCAGCTGTGTGAGGCGCTCAACATGAAATTCAAGGCCGAAGTGCAGAGCAACCGCGGCCTGACCAAGGAGAACCTCGTGTTCCTGGCCCAGAAACTGTTCAACGGCAGCAGCAGCCACCTTGAAGACTATAATGGCATGTCCGTGTCCTGGTCCCAGTTCAACAGGGTGAGGGACCCGCCGCCAGCTGCCTGCCCGGGGCCACCTGTGCCCCGCCAAGGCTTTCCCCACCTCACAGACACGTTCCTGGCCTCGTTCAGCAGCCCCCCTCTCCAGCCCGACCTGCCCTCTCCTACAACCAGGAGAGACGGGGGCTAATACACCAGGGAACGGAGGCAGGGGTAGCAGGAAACTGCACGGAGCTCTGTGAGCCGGAGCAGGACAGTGGAAGGAACCCGGGGCTGGGAGTCTGGATCCTTGAGTTCCTGCCCTAGGTCGGTTAACTAAGTGGCCAGGCCCTTCCTTGCCTCAGTTTCCCCTTCTGTCCATTGGGGGCAGAAATGACTTTGGAGATCTCAGCTTGCACAATTCTGGACACCTCCTACCCCTGCCCCTGTGCCTGAGAGGCAAGAGGCGGGTTTAGTCTCTCATCCCCAGGCTGCAGGTTGGGGGCTGTGTCCATTTATGGCCCACTGGAGTGCAGGGCGAGTCGGGTGAGGGATTGGGAGAGGGTTTCCCTGAGGACAAGATGGCACAGACTGTTCCCTGGGCCACCTGTGATGACGGGGCGACAAACCCTGACTTGGGGTTTCCTGGGGACTCTCAGGAGAACTTGCCAGGCTGGAACTACACCTTCTGGCAGTGGTTTGATGGGGTCATGGAGGTGCTGAAGAAGCATCACAAGCCCCATTGGAATGACGGGTGAGGAATGGGGGGCCCCGGGAGTGGGAGGCCATGGGCTCAGGGGACAGGTGATGCTGGACTGGTAATGACACTCTATGCTCCATGCACCCAGGGCCATCCTAGGTTTTGTGAACAAGCAACAGGCCCATGACCTGCTCATCAACAAGCCCGATGGGACCTTTTTATTACGCTTTAGCGACTCCGAAATCGGGGGCATCACCATTGCCTGGAAGTTTGACTCTCGTGAGTGCCCTGGCTCCCATTTCCTTGCTCCCCATTCCCCATCAGGTCTGCATCCTTAGATGGTTTCCCCAGGGAAAAGACTGGAACTGAACTCAAAAGTAGGGGAAGACTGTTGCTCAGAAATACATTCCCTTTCTACCATTTTCCATCATGGAGAACTTAAGATCACTGGCCCTGTGGCCTCCAGAGCCGCTGGGGGACTCCTTCAGCGGTTCTGAGTTCTCCCTTCTCTGCCCTGACCTAGTGTTGCTGGCGTCTACTTGCTTGGTTCGCTGGGTAGAATGTTCCCATGGTCACTTGCTCCCCCTGTGCCAAGGAGTTCCAGACAAGGCGGAGGGTTGCAGAGCAGGCTAGTAAAAACTCAGATGTCTCCACATACCAGATCTCAAACCCCATGACCCTAACCCTTCTCCCGAGGGTGGTGGGTGGTGGGAATGATCTCGTCCTTTTCACAGCTGACCGCAACCTGTGGAACCTGAAGCCATTCACCACGCGGGACTTCTCCATCCGGTCGCTGGCTGACCGACTAGGGGACCTGAGCTATCTCATCTACGTATTTCCCGACCGGCCCAAGGACGAGGTCTTCTCCAAGTACTACACCCCTGTGCTCGGTGCGTCCTGCTCTGATACTCCTGGGCCCTTCCGCAGCCTGTGGGCAAAGCTCTTGGGGCAAGGCAGCGGGGACTCCCCATGAAGAGCCCTGGGGCCATGTCCCCCATGGGCTTGGTGGATTCTCACTTCTGCACCCTTGGGGGACAAAGAGGCAGAGCTGGCCAGGATAATGATACCCACAGACGATGCACTACTCCCATCTTAATTAGCTGCTCTTATGGCTCCCACCCTCAAACCTGCCCCCAAGTTGAATATGGGAAGCAAAATGGACAGGTTTTTCCTCTTCAACTTGTCCCCAGTCCACTGTTGGGTTTGCTGCTTGGCATTGGTTCTGCTTCCTTGGCAGGGGTGGGGTGATGAGAGAGCGAGCAAAGGGCCAGAAAAGAAAGGAGGAGGAAGGAGGAGATGGGAGTGAGGGGTCTGGGTGGCCCCTTGGGCGGGGTCCACGGGCAGGTGTTTATAGGAGTCTGGGGAAATCTCATCACCGCTGAGGCCTCACAGTGATGTGGGTAGGAGGCAGACTGCATGCCGTGGGCTTCCACTACCTGGGAGCTCCTGGAGGCTGGTTCTCATCACGCTCCCCCCTCGGCAGCTAAAGCGGTGGATGGATACGTGAAGCCACAGATCAAGCAAGTGGTCCCTGAGTAAGTACCCAGGGTCTGGCTCTGGTCTCCTGCTGCCTCCTTTCTCTCTCCCCCAGCCCCCCTCACCCTCAGCCCTGCTCCACCCACTCACCAGCCCTGTGTGGCCCAGCCCTTCCTTCCCCCCTAAAACCTGGCTTAGCCCTGGAGAGGGAACTGGGCTTAGTCTCAGTGGGACCAGGACCCAGGGCCCCACTCCCGCAGCTGGAGTCCCAGGCCCAGTGGGCACTTTGCCCTTCCACGCCCCCCAAAAAGGTGTAAAAAGGCCCCCCACCCAAACCCTCCCCAGGTCAGCTGCTGCCCGGAGGCCGCTGAGGCTCTGCCGTGTTTCTTCTGCAGGTTTGTGAATGCATCTGCAGACTCTGCCGGGGCCAGCGCCACCTACATGGACCAGGCCCCCTCCCCAGCCGTGTGCCCCCCGGCTCATTATAACATGTACCCCCAGAAGTAGGTTGTGTTCTGATGGGGCTCTGCGGGGAGGAACTGGGCACCTGGCCTCAGGCCGGGCCCCCAGAGGGCTGGTGGGCAAAGGGCCCCAGCGCTCCTGTGGGTTCGAGACCACCCAGGCAGGGCTCCGGCCCATGCGCAGGAGCAGAGAGGGAGATCAGCCAGTAAAAACACAGAGCATGAGCTACATGTGGCAGGGTCCTTGCTCTGGTGCTGACTAGCTGTGTGACCTTGGGGAAATGATTGAGCCTCCCAGATGCTCAGTTTCCTCCTCTGTAAAAGGGAGGCAAGAACACCTACCACATGGGATGGGAGGGGTGGGGGGGGTGGGACTGAGGTTACACATTTAGCTCTGGGAGGCTGTTGTTAAGGTAGCTATGGAAGGGGCAATTATTGTCAGGAGTTGGATGGGAACGAGGTATCACTTGCTCCTTTATGGAGGTCTCAAAGAATTCATTCTCTGCTGAGCTGTGGGTGGCCCCAGCTGGATGTCTGGGTGCTTGGGAGGCACAGGCTGCACTGGTATGACCATAGGCCTGAGAGTCACAAAGACTGGAATTCCAGTCCTGAATCCATTTGCCAGCCAGGTGGCCCAGAGCGAGTTTCCAGACATGGCCGAGTCACAGTTTCCCCCTCTGTGGAGTTTGAGCAAATACGGGCCTTAACGGGAGGCTAAGGACTGGGGTCACGTGGTTTAAAGGCCCCGCTCCTTGCAGGTGCTCGGCAAATGGAGCCCATGATTGAGTGGTCTAGCGTCTCAGTGGGCAGGATTCACTGGCCCAACTACCTCGTTTTGCAGAGGAGGACAGGAACAGGGGAGAGGGACTCTGATCCCCCTCAGTGAGGCAGGGAGAGTTGAGACTAGAGCTTGAGTATCTATCTGCCAGTGAGCCATGACACGGTTTCAGCTTGAGGTCGGGGGTGGGGGTGGGGGGCGGAGGGGCATCCCACCAGAGCCAGTCCTGTTCCCATGAGACTGTGGTCTGAATGGGGAGGGGGCCAGAGGCATACCAGCTCCCTCGGACCTCCCTCTCCCCCTCTCTCCCAGCCCTGACGCCGTCCTCGACCAGGATGGAGAATTTGACTTGGATGAGACCATGGACGTGGCCCGGCACGTGGAGGAACTCCTGCGCCGCCGGATGGACGGTCTGGACCCCCGCCTCTCCCCGCCCGCTGGTCTTTTCACCTCAGCCCGAGGCTCCCTCTCATGAACATTCGAATCCCGCGCGTTTGGAAACAACACAGTGTGAAGGGGTCCTTTTAATGGGGCTTTTAGTGTCTCTCTGCATACTGATGCCTCCGCCCGTGCACGTGTGTGCACACGCACGCACGAGGTGTGCCTGCCTCGCCTTCGCCCTCCTGGGCGGCGGTGGTAGGAACCACCAGCTTGCTGTTCAGATCGAGGTCCCCGCCAGCCCTCTGGGCCTGTGACTGTTAGGGGCTCTGCTTTTGCTGCTGTCGCAGGTACTTGAGGCGATGCAGGTCCCCTGTTCCTGCGGGGGGGCCTTTCCTGCTGGGTAATGCCTCCGAGCTTAGGTCATGCTCCGGAGTTAGCAGCTTTGGCTGCCAAACGTGTGTGCACGCGTTTAGGGTGTGCTGTCCAGTGTCATGCACGTGTGTTGATCTGTTGGTTCTTTCCCTCTGGAGGGAGGCTGGGCTTCAGTTTTGAGTAATATTTTGTATTTTATCTAATGACATATGGACTGGAGACTGTGCCTCAAGAGCTTATCTAGAGCATGACCCTAACGCAGCAGAAACAGGTCATTGGAGTCGAATCTGTTAGAGCTGCTCCGAAGTCAGAGCTGCTTGGCCTCCGGGCCTCCCAGCCTCCAGCCAGGGGACCTGTGCTTCGTGTCTGTGGTGCTGTTGCCCAGTCCTGCTATCTTTTTCCGTGATCGCCTCCCCTCCATCAGCCCCAGCTTTCTTTCCCTGAGGCTCTGCAACCTTGCTCCCAGGAGAGGTGGGAGAGGGGCAGGAGCTGGTCTGAGACGCGGTGGGGTGAACAGAGGGCCAGGGACTTGCAGGGCTGACCCCCCCTCTCCTCCGGGGGATAAAACCTGCAGTGAGAGACTGCAGCAGAGCTGCTTGCTACGTGCCTGTGGAATCCTGAGTGAGGGGTGAAAGCTGATCTCGTTCCCCTCTGCCGGGTGGACCTGGACCAGGCCTCATCACAGCTGCAGAACACTGAGGTCTGAGATGGCCTTGCTCCCAGCCTCGAGTGCTCGTCCCTCTGGGGCACTGTGACCTACAGCTGGGGCAGCTGGTGGCAGAGGTTCGGAGTCTGAGGTTTAAACATCCCGAGGGAAGGTGGGGACCAGAAGAGGGATCCTTGTGTACTTTGTACATAGGCCACATATTTGTGTAAACAGTGTTTTCAAATAAAGTATTTTTTTCATAAATTTGCTGGCATGGCTCCTGGGTGAGCAGATCTGGGTAATGGGGACCCCCCAGCGGTGGGCTTGTTTCCCTCCCGTGTGGCTGATGCTGTAATGTTTCCAAAGCTACCACTCTGCTCCCTCTTCCGTGGATTAGGGGTGCCCACTAGCCCTGGAACGCAGTCTGTGCTCCTCAGAAGACAGAATGACTAGCGCTGGAGGCTTTGGGATGGGGGGTGGCAGGAATTCTGGGGCAGGGGCCAGGAGCGTTAAGATCCGGAGTCTGGGCCTCTCCTAATCAGCTACTGCTTAGGCAATCTGAAGCCCTTGGGGGTGGGGGGCACTGTGGGGAGGTGAAGCAGAGAACCTCACCAGCAGTCCCTCCTTGCCGCGCCTCTTCTTGGACACCAGCAGGTGGCACCATCCCGCTGCCACCAGCCTGTTGAAAGGGACAGCCAGCCTGGTGACCTGGGCCTGTAGGGAAGCAGGGCGAGGACAACGGTCTCCCCATTTGGACCCTCTGGTGCCGACCCACTGCCAGTCCAGGGGCTGTCACTGGGGCCCTGGGTGTTTGCGGGGGTACGTGTTGTGAAGCCATGATGTTTCCTCAGAGCTCAAAGAAAGGGAAGAGGGGTTTGCAGCCCGCAGGCAGGCAGCGCAGGGGCCTGCACAGGGCTGGCGGGGGTGGAGTGGCAGAGAGAGCAGACGCTAATCTCCCCTTCCATCTCTGCAGGGGCTGGCGGCGGCGCGGTCTCCATGGTGCTCGGCACCCAGGGAGGGGGTGGGGAGCCAGCCAAGTGGGTGCGTTGCTGTCTGTGAATTATCACCACTGGTCGGGCAGCCAGTGAAGTGTTTCCATTCATCCCCACGGAGTGAACTGAAGGGAAAGTGATAATGGAGCAACTGTGGGAGGGGAGGCCCTGGGGCAGGGTGGGACTATCTTCACCCCAAGCCCCCTTAGGTAGCGCTTATCTGACCCAAGACAGGTTGGTGCAGCTTGTTAAGGCCTGAGGAGTGGGGGAAGGAAGAGGGAGAAAGGAGGCAGGGTTCCATGGAGACCTTTACGAAGGAGTATGACCTCCCTAGAGGCCGCTGGCTAACATGGTAGGGAGGGGTTGTGTGCCCGGGCCTCAGAGGTGGGCTGCGGGGACCAGGCTGGGAGCAGGGGCCCTCACCTCACCTCCTGTCCGCATCCAGGCTCAGCCTGTGGGTAAGGCCCCCTCAGAACCGAAGTGAGGAGGGGAAGGGGGTACTTCCAGCAGCCAGATACAGAGCTGCCACGCCCTCAGACGGTTCCTATATAACTTTTATTTCTGGAAGTTAAAGTAGATACAGCAATATACAAAAACGAAACAAAAAACCAAAACCCCACAATAATATAAATTTTTACACTATGAAGTATACAGTGGAATCTGATGCGGTGACCAGGATAGCAGCCCACAAGCCACTGAGCAGGTAGTTTGAGCCATCTATGGGGACTGGGCTGGGGATGGGCAGGGGGAGACAGTGGAGAGAAAGCAGGCAGGTCCTGGAGGATTCGATTCTTGAAGGGAGGGGCCAAGCCTAGGATCCTCTCAGAACTTTTGCTACAATCAGAGTTAAAACCAGATACACATGCTACCTCAAAGCCACGAACTTTACAATATCGGCGCCAGAGAAGCCTGGATCCTTGCCCCAGGTCCCTCTGATCTAAATCATCTCTCAGTTTCTGAGTTAAGCTTATTATGAAGTGAAGAGTGTTGCTGGAAAAGGGAGAGCTCTGTGCTACCTACCAACGTGTCTAGGCCAAAGGACAGGGATGGCCAAGCACAACCCCTGTCTGTCTTGGAGAGAAGGTCCCCATCCCCTTATTTCTGAACCTGGTGAGTATGGGTAAAACAAACAGCACTCCCACCAACTGGGATAAGTGGTCCTGGACTGCCTGATCTAGTTGGGCCTCTGGGACAGAGGCGGCCCAAATACTGGAAAGCACAAAGTGTTCTGAAACGTACAGTAAATGGGGAGTGCTTTTGCTTCCTCTGCGAGGCCCCAATGGGGAGAAGACAGTCACCAGCTTCCTCTGCGAGGCCCCAATGGGGAGAAGACTGTCACCAGCACTGGGGGCTGAGGTGGGGGGCGGGGGAGGCCAGGGTGTACACTCCCTCACACAAGGGATAGACCTCAAGTTTATCAGTAAGCCTTTGCCCCTGGCTTAACCAAGTGAAGAAGGGATTAGAGGTGCCGCCGGAAAACATCAAGAAACCGGGATAAGAACCATATTCCCTGAGCTCAACTAGACCCTTGGCTGGGGCCCCACAGTCTGTCGTGTTCCACCTGTTAACTCTCGCCTTCTTATTCCGGGATACCCAAAGCAAACAGAACAGGGGACCTTTAGACACTGGAAGGAGCCCTACACAAGGGAAGTAAGGTGGACAGGGAGGAAGGAAGGATCACCCCATCCCTTATAAGGCACCCACAGAACAGCTCAGGCTCTGGAACAGGAGCAGAAGTCCAGGGAGATGGGGGTGGGTGGGCTGGGGCATCGGGAAACGACAGGTGGTAAGCACTCCTCTGCCCAGCCTTACCTACTAGTAGGCCAACACGTTAAAGGGGAAAATAAAAACTATGTTTATTAAAAAATGCCTAGGATGTTTAGGTTGTCCTTCAACCTTCCTATTTCATAACCAAAGGCCAAGCCACAGCTTCAGATGTCTTTTAAGGACTGGATCTGAAGCCCATTTCAGGATTTCTATAAATTATCAGCCTGAAGAAAGCTGAATGCCTAAAGCACCAAGAAGGCTATTGACTGAGTTGTCTTAAATACAGAAAAGGCTATGCCAATACAGTGTTTTTTGCCCTTTAATTTTTTTTTTTTTAATTTAAAAAGAAACCTAGGGGCTGTGAAAGTCCTATCTTCTATTTGGTTGTTAGCAAGGTTAAAAGTGCAATGCCAGGAGTAACGTAGCTAGAGGCAGCCTGTGGCGTGAGCTTACAGAGGGATCTGCGGGCACCAGGAGGCACTTGTCCAAGGACAACACGAGCTGCTGAGAGAGGAGGGCCGGGCAGCAAGAAAAGACCAGAACATTTCCGCTCTCTCTCCCTCTTGCCACCCCTTCCACATCCCCGCCGGTCACAGTCTCAGAGAACACATTCTTATTTGCATTTAGGTTAAAGCGTATCACCCACGTTCACTCATTTCTCTATTTTTAAAAGTGCCCAGATTGCTCAAAGATAGCAGAAGTAGGAGATTAAAATCTGGAAGCACAAAGTTAGAGGAGTCTCAGACGATCTGGGGCTGGCTGTGTAAGGGTGATGAAACACAGGTAGGTGCCTCCGTCCTTGCTCTCTGCAGCCTCAGCCCACAGCGCCTCACATCGGGGAGGTAGCGCACTCCGAGGTCAACTCCATGTCGAACGTGAGGGACTCTGGGGGGACAGAGCGGGAGAGCTCGTTCAGTTACCCAAGCTTGTTCAGTTCTTTCCCCAGCCCGACAACCCGCAGGGCACGCTCCCATAGCCCTTGGGGGGACAGAGGCTCGGCCACCACTGCCATCCAGTGTCCTTGCCCCGTATGGCCAAGACAGGGTCAGATGCTCCCGATTTACTTTCCTCCCTAGAGGGTCTGGTCTTGTGGAAGGGCTCAGCCCTCTTCCTCTCTTAACTCGTTCCCAACCATCCATGTGGAAAGATGGAAGGCTGTCCCCCTGAATGTGGCAGCCTGGAGTCCCGGGGGCGGGGAGGGGGCAACTCAGCACCATAATGTGGCTCTTCCCACTCAAGATGGGCTGCGGCTGCACAACACCCGGCAGGTCTCAGAGACTTAGCACAAAAATTTAAAAAAAAACCCTCATTAGCTTTCTCTTGTGTATTAAGATGCTAGTACTGGGATTTATTGGGTTATAGAAAAGATACGATGAACGTTAACTTTGCTTGTTTCTTATTGCTGTTTTTCACATGGCTACGAGAAAATTCGCGCTGACAGGCGTGGTGCATATTTGGTTTCTAAGGCAGAACATGGCTCTAGAACTTTCTACCAATCCCAGGGAGCCAGCTCTCAGGTTGGTGCATGGTACACCACGGGG